AAAGATTATGTTTTTATATAAAAGATAAAGATATGTTTAGTTATAGTGACAAAAATACAAGATATAGTTTCCTACTTAAAAGTTTTCTTGTGGTAAAGACCAGAAAGGAGGGAAAAATAAATAATTTTCACCACCCGCCCCCCTCAAATTTTCTTGGTTGAAATATAAAATGCCCCTGTCTTCAATGTGGTACACAAGTTGTAATAAATTCACAAGAAAGGCTTTCTTGTTACTCAAATCTATAAAATTACAGAACTTCATAAGGTGACAAAGAGTCCAATTTTTTAAACACAAAAGAACAAGAACTTTGTTTTGTTTTATGCATTTTACTAAACCATTTTGATTGTTATATTTAAGCAAGAAGGAAATCTAATTGGTTCAAGGAACAATCCTACCTGTTCAATAAATTGCAGGAATCAAACTTTGCCTGTCTTTTCATAAGAATGCTATGAAAATGAATGAATAGTAGATTGATGCTGTCAATACGTAATTAATATTTCTTAGCATACAATGAAAACTTTGAGTAAGATTCTAGTACAGGGATAGGAGACTCAAAGTAGAGACTCATTCTGAGTGCCTACTATGTGTACCCATACCATGCCACAATAACACATTTTCTTCCACTAAAACTGCCAAATTCTAGTTAGATCAATGGCCGCTTCTATGGTCTTCCCTCTAACCCAGTAGCAAGACTTGCCAATTTAAGAAAGTTGCTGCAGGGGTGCCTAGGTGGCTCAGTCGGTTAAGTATCTGACTTTGGCTCAGATCATGATCTCACAGTTTGTGTGTTTGAGCCCTGAGTCAGGCTCTGTGCTGACAGCTCAGAGCCTGGAGCCTGATTTGGATTCTGTGTCTTCCTCTCTGCCCCTCCCCTGCTTGTGCTCTGTCTTCCTCTCTCTTAAAAATAAATAAACATGAAAAAAATTTTTAATAATTAAAAAAAAAATAAAGCTGCTCTAAAGTCACTCACCGGTTCCATGGCAGGTCACTTTGAAAATTTATAGGGGTCTGTATACCAATTACTCCTTAGAGAAGAAACTCTAAATAAATATGTATCTTACTTTAAATGGCTTTATTTTACTAAATTGATACTTCCTTTTGCATGACCTATTATTCCAATTAGATTTTACTTAACTGACCTCCAACAAAATAACAGAAGCTCTCCCATTTCAATAAAAATATCAAAGTTGAAGTATGAACCATGTTAATATCTGTCACAAATAAACACTAATCTAAATTTTATGATATCATCACATAGCGAACAACTCAAAACTACTGATGCAGGTGCTTTATGTGCTAATGACAACCTCTTCTTTCCTTAGTTTCATTTTTTTATTACATTTAATAGTCTCAATCCTTTCCTAACCTACTCCCATTCCAGGTGAGCCCAAATAAGTTTTGCATTTCCTCACTAAGAATGAGGATTCAAAACTATTCTTCTCTTACTCTGGATAATTCTTGGAGTTGAATGTCTCTTCAGAATTGAATTAGAAACTGGTATTTGGGCTTGAATTGTGGTTGTCTGCTGTTATTTCTACTCACATAAGGTAGTACTTTTCATTAACAACAGGCATTATGGCCAGGATCACATTGAAGTACTGACCAATCACTGTAGGAAACCAAGGCTGATATTTAGGAAACATTTGAGTAGACTAACTCCATCATTATATGTACCAAAAGATGATAACATTCCATTTCTTTTTTAAATGTTTGATGGTTTGAGTTATTCATTATTTCAGAGAGGTATTCCTAGGGAGACTGGACATTAAGCCCATTGAATGGGGTAAAAGAGTATCTGGGATTAGGTAGAATGGTCTCCCTGGATAAAGGGGAATGACATATACCAAACTCAAACATACTTAGCTTTTTCTACCTTCTGTCTTTCCTAACTCAGATAGAGACATTGAAACTTTCCAGAAGTCCAAAATAGGAACCTCAGAACGATCCTTGAATCTTCTAACTCTTTTACCTCTAACCCTAATTTTGTTAATCAGCTAAAGCCTATCAAACATAACTATGAATTGCTTCTTCCTTTCCAATCTTATTGCCACTACTCTTTGATGGGTCACAAGATCTCTTCCCTGGGCTACTGTACTAGTCAACCAAGTGATACCTTTGCATCCATTCTTTTTAATGAATTCTGTTGCCTTTGTTTACCTTTTAAGTGTTAGTGTTCTGGGATTTCAGTTGCATACTCTCTTACTCTCTCATTCTATACTTTCTTGCTGGATAATTAATCTACCTCTGTGGACTCAAGTGCCCTTAATATGACTATCTCTAGCCTGGATCGCTGCCTTAGGCTTCAAACCTGTATGTTCACTGGTCTAAAGGATATCTCTATCTGGAGGTCCCACAGGAACTTCATCTGTCCCACCTCAAACCTACTCCTTGTTTTGTGGGCTCTATGTCAGAAAATAAAATCCCCATCTGCCCAGGTTAGAGAAGGAAACCAGGGTATTATTTTTGAATTCTTTTACTCATACCCTTTGCGTTTATTTGTCTCTTAAATCTGTTCATCTCTCTCCACACCCATTGCCACTCTCTTAGTCCAGGCCATCATTAAATCCCACCTGGATCACTGTACTAGCCTCCTAAGTAGTCTTCCTACCTTCAGACCTGGCTTCAGAAATCCTGGCCACACTGGAGTGATTTTTCTAAAAGTACAAATATTAACATGCCTCTCTCCTGCTTCAAATCCTCCAATAGTTTATTACTGTCCTTAAAATCAAGTTCAAATTCCTACATGACCTACAAGCTCCTCTAGGTTCCTCTGGAGCCTCATCACCAGCTACTCTCCCTTTAGCCAATTAAGCTCCATTGTGTTGTTTTTTAATATTTAGTTTCTCTATTTTCCCCTCTGGGCCTTTGGAAACTCTTTTCCCTCTTCCTGGAATATTCCTTCCCTCTCTCCTTGTCTCTTCGCCTAACTCATCCTTAGATGCCACTTTGGATTTCATTTACTAATTTGAGAATACTTTCCTGACGATGACCCTCCCAAGACTGGGTTTGGTGGCCTCCTAATTTGCTCTAAAAGTACACTCCACTCATTTATTACAGCCATTTTTTTCTATACTCTAATTGCCTTGTCTCTCTCTCCTTAACCACAATATATGCTTTTTTGAAGGCCTTTATACTTTTGCTTATATTGTTTCCACTTTCTGGAATATCATTCCTCTGTTTTTTACCCCTGGAAAATGTTTTCTAAACCACTCCCAGATTCAATTCAGGCAGACTTAACAGCTCTTCTTCTAGGTTATCACAGAACCTTACACTTGAGTCTGTTACAGCACATACCTTGCTATATTGCAGTTATTTATTTTTAATAATGCCTCTGGCTAGACAATGAACTTTGGGAAGGTACATATTACCATACTCATTTTTAGATGCTTACCACAGTGCCTGGCATGTAGTAGTTCTTAAGTATGTATCACACTGGAATAATTAAAACAAAGTTAACTCTGTTTCAACCCCTCTTACCAAGAATCAGGCACAAGACAGGTAAGAGAAGAATGGTTCATTTAACAAAACGTGAAAATTAAAATGTATGGGTTTATACATGTTTGTTTTACCCTAGAAGTATTTGGCTTCCTTCCCAACCCACCCCTCTTTTTAAAAGTGCCATTTAGAGAGCTTCTATTAACTCTTATATGTAAATAAACCCTTCTGATTTATTCACTAACTCTAATTCCTCCTTGGCAAAAGAAAGAGCATGAGGAAAAAAAATTAAATGAGCTAAAAATATTATGAATAATGATCAGTTATGAACTTTAAAAGGTAAATTCTGTGGCAGAAGTCACAAAGCCTTGATTTGAATCTTGACCCTGTCACTTTCTGACTTTGTGCAAGCCACTTATCTACCAAGCCTTGGTTTTTCCATCTGTGCAATAGGAGCAGTAATAATACATACTTCATACCTAAGGTTATGGTGAGAATTAAGACTTTATATATGTAAAACATTTAGAACAAAGCATAACATATAGTATGTGGTTAATAAGTGTTAGCTAGTATTATCATCTTAAATGGAGATTGTTTAATTACTAATCAAGAGTTATAATATGCTCCTAGATTATAAGAAATGTAATGATGGTATGGATTAAGTAGCAAATGACTATCAAGGACTGTGAAAATATAAAAACACTAAAGTGACAGATTAGTTTGTAAGTACCTAATGTAATTCATTAACAATATAGCACATTACACTAATTCCCATAATGCCTTCCAATTCTGGTTCTTAACTCCTAAGTTCTTGTTAATTTTCTCAAAGGATGTTATAAAATTAACTATGTAGTAAAAAAATAATAAACTTCAGAGTTTATACTTCTTTGTGTAAGAAAACTGTTAGAATTAAATGGAAATAAAATAAAATTTAAAAGTGGATGTATTATAATTCTAAAATCATTACCATCATTGCTAAAATAAGTGGCCTTGTTGAAATTCTAAAATACTAGCATTTGTATTTTAAAAATCTGATTTTAAAATGTCACATAATAATATTAATAACAATTCTAGCTTAAAAGCCAAAAAGATGATTATCAAAATATCTCGATATAGCCTGTAATTTTGATAAATGAAAAGGTTATGATTTAGCCATATTTTGAAATTACAGCCAAATCTTGATTATCTTTGGTCTGTGGAGATCTGGATGGCTGGAGTAGTTGAAATCTATATATGATTACAGAACTTTATCTTCAGCCTCTTTTCCCATCACATCTTTACCACAGTTAACTTAAGGGGCCAGTTTGCATTTCCACTCTCTTTCTTACTTGAACAAGGAAATGTCAAAATAAATAAATGAATAAAAATTTGACAACAAATAAAAACACAGGAAGGAAGGGCTAATCTATACACTAAATAACCGGTCTCTGAATAATCAAGAGTTGGCTGCACACATTACGTTTACCTTAAGAATCAAAATAGCCTCATTCTCGTTCATATCTTTCAATAAAAGCAAACAGGAGTTCCTGTGCCTTAACATTCCTCGTCAGAGTTTCTCTGAGTACCTGAAAGAACCCTGGTGGTACAGGACCTACTGGCATGCCATCTCCTGGGGGAATGTTTCCTAGCACTGGGCTGGGAGCTGCGGCAGCACTCTGCAAAGAATAAAGGAGAAACAAACCTATATCATTACAAGGAAGGCACAAAACCAGACTAACGATAACAGATTGTAGGAAGGGAAGCTTTCATTCCCAGGAATAAATATTAGTAATTTCCCCCACTCCAGAGGTAAATAAAGATACAACAGTTAGTTTATATATGACTAAGTTATTTGGTTTAAACAAGTGTTTTAAAACTTTCTGAAATCACAGGATTTGAAGAAGATGGTATCTTTCAATGATATATAAAAGGCAAATAATAATATGACAAAAAGATAAAAGTTTAAGTAAATGCTTTATTTAAGGCACAGGCATCTGAAATGACAACATTAATAACAAATATGGAAATATGTCGGTAGTAAGTATGAAAATGGTGGTTACAGAAGTTGGAAAAAAGAACTCTTTTTTAAGATTATGCTTTGCTTTGTCACAGACAAATACAATTAATTTTCTGCTTATAGGTGGTAACACATTATTCAATTTCTGATATGCTATAACTGGCAGCCAAAATAGAATTGTTAGCAAAAACAAAGTGGTGAGGATGAAAAAGTAATTAGGAGACTGAATAAAAGAAAAGAATTCGATTTAGAGAGATTAGTCTCATATAAACAGATTATGAAAAAAAAACGATTGAAAAACTCAGTCTACTTCACTTACAAATTATTTCATGGCACACTAGAGCTTCATGAAATAGGAGAATGAAAAATTTTGAGTTAGATTCTTTGTAATTAAATATAGGTTTTAGATTTAATTCTTACACAGAACAGTAATACATATCACTATTCTATAATCATGGGTTTTCATTCCTCTACCTGGTTAGACATATTATAAATCCTAAGAACAGTCAAGAGATCAGAAATGTGCTGAAGAAAGATCAGTATGAATCCAACAGTTCTGCTACGAAAGAACTCAAAACAAATAATGGATCTAGTCTATCTGTCCACTGTCCTTGCCTCTACATCAGGGTAGTCATTCACGCATTAATATTCCATTAGAAGATGCAATATCAATATATTTATAGCCTACATTTCCTGGTATATAAATTTGTAAAAATACTAACACGTGTTTATTCTATAATACTAGTAGTTATTGATAATGAAGGCCAATGATTTGAGTGTTTCCTGAGAAAATGTAGATTTAAATGTGGTTATCTAAAATGTTGCTTACCTATGAATGCCAAAATTCTAAGCTTCTGATAAAGCAGATAAGTATAAAAGGAGAAATAATATATCTTAGATATTAAGATGAAACATTTATCTGTTATTCTATTTTAAGCAAAAGCATGCAATTTCATTAATGTACATTAAATACCCACTATTTGACAGATAGTGTTCTAGTTTGCTTTATGTATCAACATTCATATTTTTAAAAAATGAAAGGCAAATCTTTTTTTTTCATTTAACTAAACTGGTGTAAAATTTTAATATACAATGTTACAGTGACAGTTTAAATATATATGATTACAGCTTGATCTAGGAAGAAAGATTTGATCTAGATCCTTTGACAGTGAATTACTGTCATGGGCAAATTGCTCTCAGTACTAAGAGCTAGAGATAAGATGTCACTATTGTTCTAATTAATTGCAGAAGAGAAATATTTTTGAGACAAGTTTGTAAACTACTCTCACCTGTATTTTTATAGAAAAAATATACTACATTATATAGAAAAAATACTACTGTAGTTGTGTATTACAACTTTGAGCAGGTTTACAAAAAATAAAATAGAATTCAATGGGTTACTGCAACGTCTTAGTGTAATTCAAAGATGCTATTTTCCCCTCAGTTCTAATTGCTTAGAAAGTACATAAAAGAAGCTTTTGCCTCCCCTAAGGAAAAGAAAAAGTTTGTCTGCATCTAAATTAAAATTCAACAAGTAAAAATACTGGGTCATCGTTGGTTCCTTTATTTGTTTTCTTTTTGGGGACTATATTGTTTAAAGGCATATAATATGCTAGGTTTTTTTCCTTCTATGTTCTGCATTATATGTGCTCCCTTTTGTTTTTTTTTTTCAGCTATTATTTAAAAGTGAAACAAAATACATGATTCAGATGAAGATTTAAGCAAATTAAATCTTTAAAATGCCTTTTGAGTTTTCATTTTATGACTTCAAAATTATAGAATAAATTCAGTCAAAATATAAATTGCCAAGAAGTCTTTTAAGTTCTGCAACACAGCAGTTAACGCTATAGGGAAAAAAAATCCTTGCTATTTGGAAGTTAACATTCTAGTGAAAGAAGAAAGATAATGGTGAGTGCTATGTAGAAAAAATAAGAGCAAGGAATAGGGAATTCCCAATAAAGGGATAGGGATTATAAATTTAAATAGAATAGTTGGGGGGGCACCTGGATGATTCCTCAGTTAAGTGTCAGACTTCAGCTCAGGTCATGATCTCACAGTTGGTGGGTTCAAGTGCCTTATTAGGCTCTACACTGACAGCATGGAGCCTGGATCCTGGAGCCTTCAAATTCTTTGTCTCTTTCTCAATCACTCTCTCTGCATTCCTCTGCTTGTGCTCTCTCACCCTCAAAAATAAATAAGCACTTAAAAAAATAAATAGAATATTTAGGAATGAATGAATAAATCACATAAACGAATGGATCATGTTATGGTGACTTATTTTTTTTTTAATTTTTACTTAAACATTTATTTACTTTTTGAGAGACAGAGAGAGACAGAGCTTGGGTGGGAGAGGGGCAGAGAGAGAGGGAGTCACTGATTCCCAAGCATACTCCAGGCTCTGAGTTGTCAGCACAGAGCCCAACACGGGGCTCGCACTCACAAACCGCAAGATCATGACCTGAACCAAAGTTGGATGCTTAACCGACTGAGCCACCCAGGTGCCCCATCAACTTATTTAAATATGACTCTTGCTTTGTTGTTGAGGATGTCTTCCCACATTTCAAGATGTGCAAATTCTTCATTTGTACCTATTCCCTTACAGTGGCACAAGAATTTTGTGGAATTTTTTCTTTCTTAATAATCATACTTTGAAAAAAAAGTAATCATACTTTGGGCATAATAATAGAAGTGTCTTGAAAACAGAAGAGTTTTATAGGTAGATGATTTATAGTATAGAGCATGATTTCATTTTCTGGTGTGATAGTAATTTCTATCCTTGGCTTAAGGATACAAAGTGATGTGAACAGAATCTTAATAATTACCCAGTTTGTTTACCTCATAGAAAGCACTAGTTCAGAGCATTTCAGCCCAAACTTCACTCTGTGGACCACATTTTTGAGCTAAATTATGCATCCAGTCTTCTGGGATTTATTGACAAAGGATAATTCACTGTTTATTGTACTGTGTGGACTCAAGCTTAGAGTACCATTTGGTACACCATGTAAATCATTAACAAATACTAATCTGATAATAAATACTACAGAGGTATACACACTAAGTGGCACTTCAAGCATTGTGAAAGAGTATATTTCTCAAATTGCTTAACTTGCTCACTTATAGCAATATAAATAATATATGCTTTGAAACTGTAAGCAAAATGAGAATCAAGTTTTGAGAATTAGTAATTTATGTAGAAGAAAGAAATACAAAATTTCTTCATTTCATTGATACAATTTCTGAGACATTTCAAGTTTACTTCCAACTTGTAAGAAATTTCTCTCTCTTGGGGCACCTGGGTGGCTCAGTAAATTAAGCGCCAACTTCTGCTCAGTTTATGATTTCACAGTTCGAGGGTTTGAGACTCTTGTTGGCCCTGTGCTGATAGCTCAGAGCCTGGAGTGTGCTTTGATTTCTGTGTCTCCCTCTCTCTCTCTCTGCCCCTCCCCAACTTGCACTCTGTCTTTCAAAAATAAATTTAAAAATTAAAAAAAAAAATTATCTCTTGACTTGAGGATCCACAGAAAGTTGTTGGCTCTAACTGATAAAGTATGTATTATTCTTGACAGTTGTGACTAAATCACAGAAAAAGTGCAAGTAGTTTAACTATATTAAGAACTACTAGAAAGTATTAGTTTCACTGGGTTTGTGTGAATTCCCATTAGAATAACATGGAAAATCCTTTATTATATAATATATGCATGATTATTTAGGTTTGACTTTTTATATTCTCTCTCTCATAAAAAGAAAAACATGAAAATATTATGGTTTTAAAATATTTCTTTTTACTAAACTAAATACATAAGACTTCGGGCAAATGTGAAAATATCATCACTAAAAGTGTTTTGTCTCTTCACTGGATTAATTTATATGCTTTCAGTATATACTTTCAGATATTTTCTAACTAGTCTTAAATCATTTATTTTGTCACAGGACTTAAATTTCAAGGTTTTTTTGAGAGTGACAACTTTACTTTTCCTTTTATATTTTCCCAAATCACTAATATAATTGTACCTACTTTTTATGTATTCAATGTATTAAATTTGGGGAATTACTTGCTTTCCCAAGGACATACAAAAATGAACTTTAAAGAGTTACCATGAAATCTCTACATGTTGTTATATATTTATCTTTGTTTAAGTCTGTGTGGCCACTTTGCTCTCTTGGACTTCCTATACTTATATCATTCTACCCTTTAAGAAGGCATAAGTCAATTTGTGCCCCTTCCTTCTTCTTTTTGTGGTGTTTATTTTTCCCTTGTATATATGTCCAGCACCATTTCCCATTTTCCGCTTTCTCTTAAATGCTGTTGTATAACTGCACTTAAAAAATATTTTTGTTCTCTCTTTAATTCCCTATTTCTGAATTTAGAGAATAGAGAGATACACTGTTATTTCATATTTTATCTTCTTAAATAAAAATCTGAAATTAAAGCCAAAAGACTTCTTATTTTAATCTTAGTTATTATCATTAGTGGCCTCTGGTAGGAAAAAAAAAAGTTATATATAGTTTGATATGGAGGTTTCACAACAGGCATATAATAAAATTTTGTTTAAAAATAAAATTAGGATATAATTGATTACTAAATTAGTTAGCATTTATCAAGATTAAATAACTAATAGTTTTATTTAATAAGGATGTTAGAGAATCAGTTGCCTATCA